GTGAATAGCGTTTGATCGTAGAAATCGCAGGAATAAAAAATTAAGAACGTGAAAGATAAAGAGCGTAGAAAGCGTAAAGGGAGCACACCAAGATTTACCCTGGTTCACCACAACTTGTGGCTAATCCAGCCTCCCGAGAGACTCTCTCGAGCTACACTACTTCCGTTAAGCTTACGGGTGCTTAACAAACCGTTACAACTTGAGAACTCGAGTCCCACAAGCCTCAACAACACTTGCTCGGAGATACCGCACTCCAAGACTTCAACCCGAAGGAAAATAGCTTTCCTTCGTACAACCAAGGGAAACAAGCTTCCCTTAACGTGTATACAACACTAAGACACTCAAGAACAAGGCTCTCTTTTAGAGTAGATGCTGAGTAAACTATATACGCTCAAGAACAACTCAAACTTCACAAATTGGCTCTAGAAAGCTATGAAAAAATGATGTTGTTTGAATGCAATGATAATATGAATATTGTGAAGTGAATTGATGAGAAAAGCAGACCCAAACACCCCTTTTTATAGTGCAGAAATAGGCTCCAACGGACCAATGCATTAAAGAGGTGATTGACTTGATTTATGGGATTGAAAAGATTTGGGATCTGCAGGATATTGGCTTCCCATCGATGTTTGGGACTTACCCATCGCTGGTAAGCCAAATTTCCTTCAGTTTTGAAGCCAACGGTTGCCTACCCATCGATGGGTACAAGCTTCCCATCGCTGGGTGGGAGGTTGACTTCCAAACAAGGAAAGAATCAACCTTAAATGACTACCAACGGTCATGCCTTCCCATCGATGGTTTAACCTTACCATCGCTGGGCTCCCATCGATGGGATAGGTTTCGCATCGCTGGGCAAGGTTGTTCTGCCTTGTGATAATGTTGCGCCAAGGCTTTAACAGCGATGGGTAGAACTCCCCATCGCTGTTTGGCATGGTTCTGGAAATTGGTTTGGCTTAGGGACTGCTTACCCATTGATGGGAAGATCTTCCCATCGCTGGGTGGGTGGTTAGCCAAAACCCCATGGTCTTTCCCTTAACCACGGCCTAGCCAACCAATGCAAAAACCGACTGAAAAATCCAAAGTTCTCCAAAATAAAAACCAAAGTTTTGAAACACTTATTTGATGTATTTGGCTAAGAAATCAAGTGAGTTACTTTAAAAACCATGTCATTTGAGTAAAAACCACGGCTAGCCAAGTTTACGCCGTTTTGCATGGTTTTTGTCAAACGACTAAAAGCGAAAGATGGTTCTCAAAGTGTTTTTGTTGGAGAACCGTTTAAACACGCCAAAGAGTGAAAGAAGATCATAAAATGCTGAAAACCACTTGGTTGGTTCGGATGCCAAAAGCCAAAGCCGATAACCGAAAGCCGAACGCTGGTTTCTGAAAGCCGAACACTG